TTCTGAGAAAAATTTTCATCAGAGATTACTCAAATAAATAATTCTGTATGATACGTAGAAGAATTTCATATGGTTTAATCTATGGAGTATTCCAAATGTTTGAAATAAAATAATTTTAAAGTCGTTTGTGATTGCTTGTTTATAAATTAAAACAAAAATGTTTGAAGATAAGGTATTGCATAATTGCAGGTACGATTGCAGTATTATGTTCTCACATCCAAGAAACATTGAAAAAAATGATAATTGTGAAGCATCTACTGTTAACGAACAAGTTCACAATTTAGTCAGCATGGATACTGTTCAAGAACAATTCTGCAGCAACAGTAAAGAGAGTTATAATTACAAAAACATATGTAATATTGATGGAGAAATAAATGGAATCAGCAAAAGTTGCAGTCCAGTCTCAGTTCAAATGGAAGATATTCTTGCTGAAGTGGAAAGAAGTAGGAAACTTATTAAATATTTTAATTTTTTCCATTTACAATTTTTTATCAAACTCGACACACTTCGCCTCTGCTCGAGAGGAGAGTCAGAGTATGTGTGACAAACTGTGTTTGAGTGTTATACTGTGTCGATTTGTGTCTCCTAAAAGGAAAGCAGCCTATGTAAATAATATTTTAAAAGATTAAACAATAATCTTATGTGCCAAAGCACATATGTATCATTATATGCAATTAAAATGTTTAAATTTACGCATAAAATTGTATCATTATATGCAATTAAAATGTTTAAACTTACGCATAAAAAATGGTAACATAAAACTTTCATTTGCCTAGGATAGAACGTGTAAGATAATGTGAGATAGAATTGTAGGATAAAATGAAATAGAAGTATGTCACTAATATTATAAATGGCTGCCAAGCCACGTGACTGTAACAGCGAATCAGAATGCGGAACACCGGTTGCGCTTCTCTGATATCTAGGACTCTAGGTAGGGTTAGCTCGTACGCTCTCCAATCGGAGAGCGTTTACAGAAGTAAACTCAATCAGGTGCTGCCGCTGCAGCACTACTTGGCCGAAAGTCAATCAATGGGCGCGTTCAAGTTGACAAAGCGGCTAGCCTGCTCGCCAAGCAAATGAACATAATTGGTTGTTACTTATAGATCCAACCAATCATATTCAATCGCTCGGTAAGCACGCCTAGCCGCTTTGCCGTCTTGAACTCGCCCAATGACGAGAAGGATTGCGCGCGCATATGGCGCGGAGACTTACTA